GCCCCGTCTCCTAGCAGGGGTTCAACTGCATGAAGATAAAGTGTTTGTTTTTTTCTGGAGTAAATGACCCCTATGTCTGACCTGACACACATATACACCCACATGCTGATATACACTGTTATATTAACCAGGCTCTTCTGGGATGAGAGCATGACTTTAATTTAATTTCCTTACACTCTTATGTCAGAGCTCTGAGATGCACCACAGGGTTTCCTCTTCATATCAAACACCCAACACAAAAATCAGCACCTTTGCCCCTGCTGTTGCCCCGTGACCTCATGTCGAGCCACTGAGAATTGCACATCTCACCGCAGCAGTAAAATGCAGGATTCATCTTGTTTTGTGCTGCACGGTGTAAGATTATTGATCTTTATTGGACCATTTATAAAGGACAAGTAATTTCCACTTACTGTAAGATTGCAGAGCGACTGAGAGATGTGGAGGAGAGGAGAGCGAGGGCAGGATGATGGTGGACTATCAGGCTCAGAGCAGTGACCCTGCTCCTCTTCTACTCCTGTCCTTTCATGCTCCCATCCTCCCTCTCTCCTCTATCACAACACTCATCTCCATGGCAAATTGAATTCCTCCCCATCATCTGCCTCAGCAGCTTCATAAGACCAGCCTGAGAGCTGAGACATGCACATGTTGTGGCAGCCAAAAAAAGTGTGTATTTGCCTGTGGACGTGTGCACATCTGCCTCTCGACTCTCCTGTCACAATTGGAGGCCAATCTCTCTCTTAGGCAACATTCCTCCTAAAGAGATGAAAAGAGGAGACCTTGAGCTGCCACACACTTTGACAGAGATGAACCGAGGGGCAGCGAGAGTTGGAGGGAAGAACAAAGGAGAGGTGGTCTTGATAGAGAGACAGGTGGTTGGATTGTACAGCTTGTGAGAAAGAAAGACAGGTTAAGACAAGGGAAGACTGGGTGAGAGAGAGTGACCTGCTGAAACATGCTGTTAGCTGACCTTTCTTCTCATATGTGCTGTTCTCTAGCTCTGTCTGTACTTCCTAATGGACTCTCTTTAAAGTAGAAGGAAGGATTAAAGAGCCAGGAGGAATGGAGTGAGAGAACGCAACATGCAGGTGGACGTGGTATGAACTATGAAGAAAGTGGTAAATAAGTGGAATGGATAGAGGCAGGTGCAAAACATCATCATCTTTCTTATTGCGTTTGTGCACCAGCCTTTCTAATTGGGAGTGAAATCTAGTAAGCTCTTAAGGCTGCACCTCAGCTGCTGCTGCTGCTCTCTCTCTCTCTCTCTCTCTCTCTCTCTCTCTTTCTCACACACACACACATACACACACACACACACAGAGGCAGGCAGTGGTGAGTTATAGTGGTGGTCAACACTCTGACATTGGAGCCTGCATTGCCAGCCATCGTCTGTGGAAACAGAATATTCCAAATAAATCCTTATGCTCACATGCACACTCACACACCATTTCTCTCTCTCTCTCTCTCTCACACACACACACACACACACACACACACACACGCAGAGTCGCACATAAATCTATCTCAGATGGAACACTTCCCTTTTGTGCACAGTGCAGGCAGCTCTCAATCTAAAGGAGAGAGGGAGAGTGTTAAACAGAGAAAGAGAAGGGGAGAAAAAGGTGGCCCTGAGACATCCACTGGGAATAAGGTGTAAGGAAGGAAACGGAGACAATCGAGACAAAGCATGAGGGCTGCAGTAAAGATGGGGCTGGGAAAGTTGAAATGGTAGGGAGGAGAGAAGATTGAGTTGACAGGATGAGGAGAGCGAGAAAGAGGGAATATAAAATTGTGCCTCAGAGTTATGGACCTGTTCATACATACTGTAGCAAACAGAAAAGCCTGCGCCCTGTTACGCAGTTTGTGTGTGTATGTAAATGGTTGATGCATTGAATAAATCTCATTGTTTGCGCACCCATCCACTCTTTACCCAGATACTGATTTTTGTTTAGTATATCCAGACTTCAACACATGCTGAGTGTCCTGCAGCTAGTTGCTGTAGGCACCTGGTAAGTCAGGTATGAGCACCTGAACCATGAACTCCAGACCGCATGGCACTGCAGCAGATTGTACCCAGCAAGATAGTCTGGAAGTACAATAAATCTGTTGTAACTG